GGATGCTTCTTTGTTGGTAAGAACTTGGTGTCGTGGCTGAGTAAGAAACAGAATTCAATTTCCTTAAGTACTGCAGAGGCAGAATACATAGCTGCTGGTGGATGTTGTACTCAGTTAGTATGGATGAAACAGATGCTTTTAGACTATGGTCTTACTCAAGGAATTATGACACTCTATTGTGACAATGTCAGTGCTATCAACATCTCAAAGAATCCAGTTCAACACTCCAGGACGAAGCACATTGATATTAGGCACCATTACATTAGAGACCTGGTTGAATCCAATGAGATTGAATTGGAGTACATTCAAACAGATAAGCAACTGGCTGATATTCTGACCAAGCCCCTAGATGCAAATCGTTTTGAAATTCTCAGATCTGCTCAGGGAATCTGCAGGATTGACTAATAAGGCAGTTAGTCGTTCAGAAGGGAGTAAATGGTTTAATTATACGGGTCAGATTTAAGCTTTGACTTCCGTTTAAATCTCCCTTCTATTTTGTTAAGTGTATCTCTTAACCTAAATTACCATAAAGGTTTTGGCCTTTTTCAAATTTCAAATTTCCTTTCATCTGTTTCTTGCCTAAAAAAAAAAAGGCATACCGTTGTGTCAATCACATCGTCTCTGCATGATTTTTGACAAGCCGCATTAATTAGGGTTCTTCACCCTTGGGACTATTTGTTACCGGGCCACTCTTGAACAGAAGGAGCACTCAAAGAATATCTCTGCCCTCAATTTAAGCTCTCTCTGCTACATCTTTGCCTAGGTTGAATTCTCTTACATACTCACGATACATTCTAATGGCGGACGCAGTAAGGAATATCATCATCAAACTTGGAAGCAAGACCCATTCTCCAAAAGTTGCCACCAAGCACATTCAGACACTATTGCAGTTGGCAATGAAGAAGAAACTAAAGCTTGACCCTCTTCTTCGTGATGAGATCATGGTCACGGTTATGACAGATTATCCAAAGTTCTATGCCGACTGGTCTGAAGACGATACCAGTGAGCTTTTATTGTTGGTCTCTGAAGCCAGTGATGAGATTTTTCCAGCATCTATCCCAGAGCCTTCAGACGGAAATCGGGCCAGGGCTTTTCTCCAATACTTTGCACAGAGGGCCCTTGAATCTGCTGAGGTCTCACGACGACGTGCTGAATCTTAACCCCTGTACCTACAAGCTGCCCGAGATGAGACCAGACACAGGCTGGAAATCCTTCGAAACAGGTCAAACACTTTTGACTCCCCTATTGAAATTTTGCCTGATAAACCTGAGGATCTAGTGTCTAATGCTGCCCCATCTACTGTGCCTGTTGATTCTGAGAATGTGCCTGCTTTAATTTCTGTGAAATCTTCTGTATCTGTTGATCCCCCTTGTTTACCTACTGTGAAGTCTGATTCTTTGAAAAGTGGGGCTCTTAATGTGTCTGAGGAGGAAGAAAAATCGTTTGATGAGCCCAACAATCGAAGTTTGGTTGTTTTCTCGGCTAATAATATTGCTTTGCCCCCTACTGTTATTGCTGATGTCCCACAAGAAATCGGTTCCTCTGTTAATCCCTCTAATTTGCCTGCTGAGGTTGAAACTGTTAAGCTCTCAAGCCCCCGTGAGTCCGAGAAAATGGATGGAGTTCCAGTCTACACCTCCACATCTTTGGCTGAAAGTCTTGAACATGTCCGGCACTTTGCTGGTCTACCTGCTGCCTCCATTCCAGAACCATATCGAGTGATTCATCCTCCCCAAATTGATTGACAATTTCATTATAGAATTTTTGAAACACATCAAATAATTCAAAACGGTTCTTCATTAGAAAGACCCAAGTGCATCGAGAGAAATCATCAATGAAGACAACAAAATATGATAAACCCAAAGTGGATGAAACTCGACACGGTCCCCAAACATTAGAGTGAACTAAAGAAATGGGGTATTGGCCCTCTTATTCACTCTACTAGGATATGAAGCTCTTGAGTGTTTCCCAAGCTGACACGATTCACACTCTATGGTTTTTAAATTTGACAATCCAGGAACCAGTTGTTTTAATTTATTGAGGTCAGGATGTCCTAAACGACAATGGTTAAAAAGAGGTGAAATAGAAGCAGAGCAAGCTGTTTTGGTATTGGTGGAACATGAAAGATGGTATAGACCTCGTGATTCATATCCTACACCAATTGCCCCTTTTGTTTGACGGTTCTGAATAACCACCGAATCAGAAGAAAAGATGATAAGGCAATTAAGAGCGTGAGTAATGGCAACCAGGAATGTAAAGGACATTGGATAAAGACAAAGAATGAATGGTGACTTTTCCAACTCCTATAGCCTTTCCTTTTGATCCATCACCAAATGTGACATCAGGAAGAGAGTATGCGAACTCAATATTAGAGAAAAATGAGAGATTACCAGAAATGTGATCAGTGGCTCCAGAATCAAGAATCTAAGTGAATCATATTTTAATGCAAGAGCAGTATGAGACAAGTTGGTCCTGGCAACTTTCAGCATGGTGCTTAAACTTTCATGTTTTGCTATAGCTTTCAGAAAAATATGAGAAAATCACCGTAGAATCGCAAATAAGTGACGAACTGATCTGGAAAATTTTTTCGGAAAAGGGATGATGAACAGTGCTAGTCACCACTGTTCATCGGCTGTAGGTGTTTTGAGAGAAATTTTAGGTCCCCAGAAAAAGAGGCTCTGATACCATGTTAAAAGCTAGAAAGGGTTCTTGTATTCATCTAACTTCATGTTACAAATCCATATATATGTCTACAAGAGTATTGGGAAGAAACAAAATAAATAAAGAAGGAAACTACTCATCTCCCCAAGGGTTTAATTACTAAGGCAGGTGAGATGCCCAAGACATTTAATATTCCAACAACCCTAATCAACAAAGGACCACAAGTAAGTAAACTTACATTCTCAATTAATTTGGTTTTTAATGACATTCATCATTGTAATAGGTTGAGAAAGTATGTATGGACAGATACTATGTTGTAATAGAGTTAGTAATAGTAAAAAATAAAATTGACATTCATCATTTCAATATTAATAAAAAAAAAGTTCATTGATTACCCTTTATTGGAAGTTGTCACAATATGTGGTAGTGAATAGGATTGGGTTGCCTAATTGATATTCTCATGACAGAAACAGTGCACTGAACAGAGTCAATTTTTGCTGCTCTAGAAGACATTCTTAGCACCAGCCTATGTATATTTGTTAAGAGTTTTAGTATACGGACTTTCAAACCTTACTCCCTAAATTTTATTCTTTGATGTGGCGATTATTAGTTATTTTTTTTTATGTGGATTCCAGTACAAATATTTATATCAAGATTTTGTATGTGAGAGTAAAAATTGGGAGTAAAAAATGAAATTACATTGTAATATTTTCCATTTGTTAAAGGCTAATGGTGATTAACAAGTTATTTTAATTTGATGAGTAGCCACCAAGTTACTGAATTTGGGGACCAGTTCTGAGATTCCAACAAACAGCATGACTTTTCCCACTTTCCTTTTTTAGAGAACACAGAAACGGATTTCACGTTTTAGTGTGCAGCTTGTGAGATAAGCATTATTTTTATTTATTTGGTCAAGCACCCTTTATTTACCACTATAACGTGGGAGAGAAATTCATTAAGATTTGTTTAGTCAAACACGTTTTATTATCAGAGAAATTAACAAGTTAAAAGCAATTAAGTTGATTCAAATTTCACAATTGGTATGAGACTTAAGAATAGAGTTGTTGGTGGGGTCGAGTATCGGGATCTTACAATCATTATTGTATGGACCATGGTCTACACAAGTTGTGTGGACCATATTTTGTCTATTGTAAAATAATGTACATTCAGTACAAAAATAATGTATATTCAATACAAAAATAATGTACATTGTATTCAGGGGATGTACATTATTTTTGTTCTGAGTGTACATTATATTGTATAATGTACATTCAATAAAAAAATAATGTACATTTAGTATATAAAAAATGTACTTTTTGTTATGGTCCACATAACATTGTGTGGACCATGGTCCACACAATAATTTGCCGGGATCTTATTGGCCAAATGCCAATGCGGCAATGCATATAAAGGATCTGGCCCACTTAAGGTATACTTTTCACACTATTGTTATAAGAGTTAATACTCAAAATTGTCTTCGACTATAGTGATTTTTCTCAATTTTGTCCTAAACGACTTTGGTGACTTAATGTAGTCCCAGACTCCCCAGAGTTTTTGTGTTTTTACTCAATTTCGTCCCAAACTTTTGTGTTTTTGCTCAATTTAGTCCCCCATTTGTTATTCCGTCCATTTGTTGTTAAATAAATAGACAATTCAGTAATTTTAATATTGACATCTCTTTATTCATAGACATATGAAGTGCGAAATTCCTCTTTTTTTACGAATTACTCCCAGAATCACTTCTAAAGCTGCGAATATAAAATTTGATTCGTAGGTCTGAGAGTAACTCTGGGTATAATTCGTGTAAGAAAGAGAGATTTCTTTACTTCGCAGGTTGAAAATAAAGAGATGTCAATATTGATATTATTGAATTGTCCCTTTATTTAACACCAATTTGGCGAAATAACAAACGGAGGACTAAATTGAGCGAAACACAAAAGTCTGGGAATATATTAGGTCACCAAAGTCATTTAGGACGAAATTGAGAAAAACCACTATAGTCGAGGACAATTTTGGATATTAACTCTATCAAATTTCAAACTTTGATCTTTTCTCTTAAATATTATCTACCATCTACTGAATCAGTGAACAAAGCTCGACATGAACTAAAATAGATACAAGAGATAGAATGACAAATTCCTTTTACAAATTAAATATAATTGATTACATCATATATGCGTCCTTTTCCAGAATTCCTTCCACCAACAACTTATTATTTCTTGTTTTGGTCCTAATATGTGATAGAAATCATCTCAAAATTTGAAACCCCATATTGTTGGTTGTTTTTTATCATGCTCAAATTTTAGACATAATTTTGATTCCAAACCAATATATAGCAGCAGCCTTAGCTTGTTGGTTATTTTGATTAACTCCATCCACCTAAGTGGAATAAATTAAAGAATGAGTAGACAGGATGACCATACAAGTCAGGAACCAAGAATCAATGCCCAATATGTGGAAATTCCATTATATTCTTCTTTTGAAACTTCCAATGGGTTTGTAGGAAACTGAGCAGAAACTCCATAAAATAATTTGCTCCTTTGAAAAGTTGCACATTGAAAATTAACAAAGTAGCTAGGACTCGGAAGACAGACCGGGCATTATATTGTTAAATTCTTAATTGGAACCTCATAAGTTTTGAGCTCTATAGTAAGTAGTCTCTGTTATCTATTCATTGCTTTAATTTGGTAGAATTGAAACAGCCATGCAGCTTTCATCACAAAGCTCGACAAGTGACGACGATCTGAGGAGAGGTCCCTGGACTGAAGAAGAAGATGGACTTCTCATTCACTACATTGCCCTTCATGGCCAAGGCCGATGGAATTTGCTGGCCAAGACTGCAGGTAATTAATTATATTGTTATCCATATATATTGTTAGGATCAAACGCTTACCACTTTTGCCAAAAGCTATAACTAATAGCGAATGGGCAACTTTATTTCATTATAGATCGTCACATATTTTTGAGACATTGGGTGCTAGGCTTGGCCTTTACCGAGCCCAACAATCCCTCGTCACTGCTAGCTAGACTTGGCCTTTACGGACGCCGCCCAACAATCTTCCAGTCACCGGGTGCTAGGCTTGGCTTTTACTGACTTCCGCCCAACAATCCCCAGCCACCGGGTGCTGGACTTAGCCTTTACCGAACTCCGCCAAACAATCCCCCAACCACTGAGTGCTGGACTTAGCCTTTACCGACCTCCGCCCAACAATCCCCCAACCACTGAGTGCTGGACTTGGCTGGCAAAGCCTTCGCCCAACAATCCCCAGGTGCTAGACTTGTCCTTTACCGGCCTCCACCCAACAATCCCCAGCCACCTGGAATTGGCCTTTACCAGTCTCCGCTCAACAATCTCCTAGACACTGGGTGCTGGACTTGGCCTTTACCGGCCTCCACCCAACAATCTCCAACCACCAAGTGCTGGACTTGACCTTTACCAGCTTCCTCCCAACAATCCCTCAGCCATCGGGTGTTGGAATTGCCTTTACCGGTGACCTCCGCCCAACAATCTCCCAGCCACCGATCGAGTACTGGTCTTGACCTTTACCGGCCTCCGTCCAACAATCCCCCGACCACAGGATGCTAGAATTCGCCTTTATGGACTTCGGCCCAAGATTTTTTATTTATTTATTTATTTATATTGACCTTCAAGATTTTGTAACATTGTACTCATTTTAGGGTTGAGGAGAAGTGGGAAGAGTTGTAGACTGAGATGGGTGAATTATCTAAAACCAGATGTTAAAAGAGGAAATCTCACCCTTGAAGAACAGCTGTTGATCCTTGAACTCCATTTAAAGTTGGGCAACAGGTGGTCAAAAATCGCTGAACATCTACCGGGCAGAACAGACAATGAGATCAAGAACTACTGGAGGACACGGGTGCAGAAACAGGCCAGGAATCTCAACCTTCATTCAAACACTGCAGCATTTCAACAACTGATTCGCCATTTCTGGGTTCCCACCCTGCTTCACAAAATACATGCAAGATCCATTCAACCCCAACCCCAAACCACAACATCATATCAGGAGAAGAAGCCACACTATAATAGTAGCCATCAACCTCTAACAAATTCCAACACCACTACTGAATCAACATACTTTTCCCCTCTCTCACCACTTTCTGATGAGTGCCCAAGTATTAATAATCCATTTCATGGCTATTATGGAATGGAAGCTTTCAGCCCTCCACTTTTCACAGGGTCAGGGGACTGCTTCATTGATTATGATCAGGTTGGAGAAGGAAACAGTTCAATGGATGATTTTTCTGTTGATAGCAGCTTGTGGAGCATGGATGAAATTTGGGTAGGATAAGGGTGGGTGACTAAGCTTATGCTCATTCTAGCTTATTCAAGGCTCTTACAAAACCCACCCTTTGGTTGGGACAACTTTTTTCTTTTTCCTTCAAATTTCAATTCCTTGGGTATTTTAGACTTTTTAAAGGTCAGTCGAGTTCAGCCTCTACTTGATTCGAGACGGGATGTTGTGACTTACCATGGAAGGATGTAATTAAATGGGATTGGCTATGCAATTGGGCTTTAATTTGTGATCAAATGTTGTCGTAGGTGTTGGGCGGGGAATTGCTAGGCGTTCACCCGGTTAGCCGAGTTCAGCCCCTACTCAATTCGAGACATGATGTTGTGGTGGCAACCAAATAACCAAAGAGCTCCGTGATTAAGCGTGTTTGACTTACGATGACCTACCAAGAAGTAATCATAGTGCAACACCGATATCCAACAATAAGAAATCTTTACCATTTTTACAAACTAAAAAATAGAATATTATATTAATTTTTTTTCCTATCCATTTTCTATAGAATTTTCCTCAAGTATTTCTTAGAGTGAATCAAAGTGCCTATTAAAGAAAAGGGAATGATGGTCCTATTTCTTAATTTTTATTTAGGAAAAATGGTGTGCAATTTGTTTATAGCTGGTTGATAGATGATAGTTTACAGGTGCATGTACAGAGAGAGAGTAATAAAGCACTCTATTTAATTACTCCTTATCCTCTGTACAGTTGTTATAATATATACATATAACTTATGTATCACAGTAAAATCAATACAGTTGGGATCCCAAAGGTAAAATTTAGAGTTTTTTGTACTTTTGAACCCACGACTATGGTGTTACTAACAATTTTGATCTACGACTTTTAAAATTTGTAAAATTGGTTCACGACTATGACTTTCTTAACAAGTTTGGTCCTTTCGGTGCATTTTCTGTTCAATTTTTGCCAAAAAATTTTACTCCACATTTTAACATGGGTAATATTGTCTTTTTCATCTCACAAACTAATGACATCAATAAATAAATAAACAGCTAAAAAATTTTAACGTTTAGCGATGAGGGTGAAACTGAAAGTGGAATTGGAATTGGGTGACTCTTAATTTCAATCACCGTATCACTGGTTGTGTTTAATTAATTAATTTATTTATTTATGTCATTATTTTGTGAGATGGAAAAGACTATATTACCTATGTTAAAATATGGAGTAAAATTTTCTAGCAAAAAATGAACAGAAAATACATCGAAATGACCAAATTTGCTAAGAAAGTCATAATTGTGGACCAATTATATTCTACAAATTTTAAAAATTATAAATCAAAATTATTAATGATATCATAACCATGGAACCAAAAGTGCAAAAAAATGGGAAAATTTACATTACGTGCTGCAATTGCAAAATGAACGTAAATGCGTTTTTACCAGAAATGTTGGAATTGTTTCTTGAACATTCAAACCAGGCCAAATAGTTTTTTGTCGGTAAAAAACCCTATGTGCTTTTTACTATATTGAAATATCTTATATAATTACAACTCTAACTAAATTGGTCAGTCTCTACAAATTCGACTCCCAACTGTAATGGCCTATTGACTTTTTTAGTTTGAGCTAATAAATTGTGATCAACCTAGGTTGATTTACCTCCCAATTGGGGTCACAAAACCATATTTATCTATTCCACACCCTTGTATAATGGCTGCATATTTCTCTTGTTGCCGGAGCTCATTCAATCTCTCAAGCTCAGCTCTTTCCTCAACTCCCCTACGTTTTCCGACGGGTTCACCTCCCCCAAAACTTCTTCCTTTCGCATTGCGACAACAGCATTATACGAAGCTTCTTCGAACTGTTCGTGTTCCCAGAGGATCTGAACGAGGTCATTGTAATGAAGCAAAGCTCTCTGGACATCAAGCTAAAATGCATATCAACGTGCCGGTGCATCTGGAAGTCACGAAATAATCTTATATGGAGAGGAAAAGCATGGCGGCTTGATGAGGTGAAAAGAGCACCCACATGGCCACTCAGCCAGGGGTAGAGACTGTATCACCGCCAGTAATGGAGCACCCGACCCCGAACGGAACCTTCTTTCTGAACGTGGATGCAGCAGTATTCAATTCCCAGAAACACAACGTCCAGTTTTGGGGTGGTTGTTCGAACACACATATGTGAGTTTGTGGCAGGTGTTACATTTACTGGTGAGCCAGCAAAAATAAGAAGCAAGTTGAAAAAAATGCAGCCATGGCAACTTGGTCGTCATCCCTAAAATTATGTAAGTGATCAGTGATGCAAATCCATGTCTAACTATTGATAATGTTCTCCCCAATAAAATGGGAATTATCTACTTATATACATGAAAATAAAAAGGTGTATAACTTAAAATCCTTTTTTTTTTTTTTTTTTTAGAAAAATAATGGAGATTATCTGTTTGGCATATTTCCCTCTCAATATGCACATACCAACATAATTGACACTATTTTATTTTCCCCCTTTTTAAGTTTTTATGTACTGGGTTAGAGGTTGATGTTGTGAGGCATTTATTACACTGTGATATGCTCCTTTTTGTCTATTCAGAGGAACAACAGTATGAGAATTCAAGTCTAGATAATGGCAGAATTGAAGAACAGGAGCATGTTACTGTAGCACGTGCAGTGCTTCGCAAATATATCTGATCAAAGCAAAGTTGGCTGGAGTACCGTTCCCAATTCAAGGCCATCGAGTACACAGCAAGCTCAGTCTACAACATCAAAAATATTTCCCCTAATACGCCCAAGAACATCTCATCATAGTAGACATGTCAGTCCACTATGCTCGAGAACCTGTCAGTCCGCGATTCACTTCGCTCCTATAGATAGAAAGTTATATATATGTATAAATTGCAAGATGCTTGTGGATTAAGGGAGACAATGAATTACAAGAGAGAATTCATTTACTTGGAAGGAATTATTTGATTTTGCAGCTCTTATCAAGCTTCTTGCCGGAGTGTCGGAAGGATGACAGGGCTGGCAGCAAAAAGGCATGGCGAGGCTGGTCGTTGGCGGCGGACGGGGAGGTGAGGCAACGCTAGTCACTGGCGACGTTAGGAGAGGGGCTGTCGGCGGTCGGCGACGCTGGTAGACTGTAGGAATCAGTGAGCTAAGCTGGGATTTGGATAATGAGAGTTCATAGGGAGAGAAGTCGAAAAGAGAAAAGAGAAAAGAGAAGCTTGTTACTGTTGTATTGAATGAAGCAGAGAGCAGATTACATATAGTCCAGAGCAGAAGCAGTTATAACTGCCAGGGAAGAAAGAAGGAAGGAAAGTACAGAAATACCCTTCTACAACAATATTAATCCTTCATCACCCCCCCCCCCCCCCCCCCCCCGTAAGCTGGGGCATGGATGTCTCGGAGGCCCAGCTTAAGTTGAAACAAGTTGAATGCAGGAGTAGGCAAAGTCTTGGTGAATCCATCAGCCACCTGTTTATGAGAAGGAATAGGCAACTTTATCAATCCTTCACTGACTTTGTGCTTGACAATGTGACAATCTATCTCTATGTGTTTCATTCTTTCATGAAAAACATGATTTTCTCCAATGGCAATAGCTGAGTGATTGTCACAGAACAGGACAGTTGGAACATTGAACTTCACTTTCAAATCAGCTAGCAAATAATGAAGCCATTGAATCTCACAAACAGTAGATGCCAATGCTCTATATTCAGCCTCTGAAGAAGACCTTGAGATTGTGGCCTGTTTCTTAGTCTTCCAAGAGATCAAGTTAGTACCAAGGAAAATGCAATAGCCAGTGACTGACTTTCTGGAATCAGGGCAATTGGCCCAATCAGAATCTGAGAAACCTTGCAGCTTCAAGTGGGAGTCTTTGTGATAGAATAAGCCTTTTCCTAGTGAATGTTTGAGGTATCTCAATACCCTATGAGCAGCAGTAAGATGGATGCTAGATGGCTTGTCAACATACTGGCTGAGCTGTTGCACAGCATGTGATATGTCTGGTCTTGTGTTGGTTAGATATAACAATTTGCCAACTAACCTTCTATAAACTTCAGGCTTCTCAAGGGGAATACCTTCTGTTTTTGCTAGTCTGATACCTGCAGTAGCTGGACTTTTTGCAGGCTTACAATTGAGAAAACCATTCTCTTTAAGGATGTCAAGAGTGTACTTCATCTGAAACAAGCTGACCCCTTCATCACTTCTAAAAGTCTCAATCCCCAAGAAATAGTTCAAAGACCCAAGGTCCTTTATCTTGAAGGCATTGTCAAGAAACTGCTTCAAGGCTGTAATTTGTGATGAGTCATTTCCAGTGACTAGAATATCATCCACATAGATAAGCAAGGCAGTAAAGGAATCTCCTGAGGTACTAGTGAGTAGAGATGGATCAGCTGCTGATTGTTGATAACCATTATCTATCAAAGCTGTAGTTAATTTTGAGTTCCATTGTCTGCTAGCCTGTTTTAGGCCATAGAGAGACCTAAGTAGCTTGCAGACCTGGTTTGGCTTATCACTGTGAAAGCCAGGAGGCAACACCATATAAACTTCCTCCTTTAGGTCCCCATGTAGAAATGCATTGTTTATGTCTAACTGTTGAATGTCCCATCCTCTTGCAATGGCTACAGCTAGAAAGGATCTTATAGTAGTCATCCTTGCAACAGGTGAAAAAGTCTCAGTGTAGTCAATTCCCATTTTTTGTGTATATCCCTTGGCCACCAACCTAGCTTTATACCTTTCCACTGAGCCATTAGCTTTGTGTTTCACTTTAAAAACCCATTTACAACCAATTGGTATTTTCCCTTCAGGCAAGTCTGTGAGTATCCAGGTATTATTGGCAACCAAGGCTTCTATTTCAGTCAGCATTGCCTTTCTCCACATTTCAGACTTAGCAGCTTCATTATAAGTATGTGGTTCATGTGTGTTTAGGATAGAGGAGGCACAAGTTTTGTGATGTAGTGGTAGGGACTCATAAGATATGACATTGTCTAAGGAATGTGGGGAAGTGTTGCCAATCTGAGCTATGGATTGACAGTAGTAATCTTGAAGTTTTGTGGGGATAGTTCTCACCCTTTCAGACCTCCTGAGTTCCTGCTGGTTAGGATATGCCACTGCAATATCTTCATTAGTAGTAGCAGATGAATTTTCAAGAATAGATGGGGGACCTTCTTTAGATGTTGTAGTGGTTCTCATGGAATCTGTATGTACTCTAGATTCAGAACCAGACTCATTGACATCATGAATACCATGCTGCTCAGCATCCATGAGGTGAGATGTATCAATATTTCTATGAGCCATTCTATATTTTTCTGGGGACACATCTGCATCAATGGAGATTACAGGCAAAGTTGGATTATCCTCATGACTGTGGGAATTGTCTGAACTGCCTTGTTTAAGAGGATAGATTTCTTCATAAAAAATGACATCCCTGGAAACAAAAATGCACTCATCAGTGACGTCAAACAACAAATATCCTTTCACATTTGCTGGAAAGCCCAAAAGGATGCACTTCCTTGCTCTAGGCATCATCTTATTTCTTCCCTTAGGAGTAGTAGCAGCAAAACAAAGGCACCCAAAGGCCCTTAACTGATTATAGTCCACAACTTTGTTGTAGAGAAGTTCAAAGGGTGATTTCCCTTTGTTTACTTGTGTGGGAAGCCTGTTGATGAGATAAGAAGCATGTAACACACAGTGACTCCACAATTGTAAGGGAACCCCAGACTGAAATCTAAGAGCTCTTGCAACATTCAATATATGCTCGTGCTTTCTCTCTGCAACACCATTTTGTTGAGGTGTATAAGCACAAGATTTTTTATGGACAATCCCTTTGTCATTAAAGAATGATGTCATGAAGAACTCAGTTCCATTATCAGACCTCACTGCCTTAATTTTAGTTGAGAACTGAGTATCCACAAATTGATAGAAGTTCTGAAATAGCTGCTTAACTTCAGATTTATTTCTCATTAAATGTATCCAAGTGAATCTGCTATAATCATCAACAATTGTGAGGAAATAATGTTCCCTTTTAAGTGAGGCAACACCAAAAGGACCCCAAACATCTAAATGTACCAAATCAAAGCATTTTTCAGCTCTTGTATTGCTAATGGGAAAAACTAACCTTTTTTGTTTAGCAAAATGACATGAGTCACATACAAAATCAGCAGGCTTATGAAATTGAGCCTGCTTTATTCCATTTAGACTATGAATTTTGTCTATAGGGTAATGCCCTAGCCTATTATGCCACATTTGCAAAGATAAGCTATTACAGTGTTTATCAAAATCAACACACTGATTTCTCTTAACAGGAGGATGGCTTAGAAGATAGAGTCCATCCTTTGCCTTAGCAAAACCATCCATCATCCCATGTAGCCCCTGAATATTACACAAATCAGCATTCATGACAAGAGTACAGCCATTTTGTTTTGTCAGCTTACTAGCAGATATTATGTTGAAAGCAAAAGAGGGTATGCACAAAACATTTTTCAACAAAAGATTGGGAAACAATCTTATTTCTCCTATATGAGTCACCTGCACAGAATCTCCATTTGGCATTCTAACAAAAATGCCATGAACTTTATGATGATTATCAATGTAATCCAAGGAGCAAGTGATGTGATCAGTTGCTCCTGAATCCAATATCCACATTTTTGCACAACTTAAAACAGCATTTATATGGAATTTAGGAATGGACCTGCCTTCTTCTGTATCAGCAGAGGAACTGATGATCTCTTGCCTCATTCCAGTCTTACTCATGGTAATTGCAGCATTGGTGGAAGCTTGGTTAGCTTGGCTTCCTTGGTTCTGATTTTGCAAAAGAGAAACCAGCTTCTGAAACTGGTCAGCAGGCAATCCCACATCTGCAACTTGATTCACAGAAGGACTAAAGCTGTGCTGACTGTCTTGATTGCTTTGGTTCTGCTTGTATTTAGTCTTGTAACCAGGTATCCAGCCAGGTGGATACCCTTGCTTCTTAAAACACTTGTCTATAGTGTGGCCATTCATTCCACAATATGTGCATTTGGTCACATTTTTCCCTCCATAGGCATTGAATTTCTTCTTGTTGTTTGAGCTAGCCATTGCCACAATATTCTGATCCTCTCCAGTTTGATTTTGAATAGCATTAGATTGACCAATTTCAGAGGTCTTATAGCCACTAGAACCATTGAGCTTTCTCTCTAGCTTCAAAGCCATGTTAAGAGCTTTTTCCATACTAGGTAGGGGATCCATGACCAGTGCACCAGATTTGATAGTTTCATATTCATCATTTAAGCCATCTAGAAACCTAATTACTTGATCATCCTCCCTATCCTTTAGAACTTTGCTCAGAAGTGTGCAATTGCATCTAGGTGTGCATTCACAAACAGGCAGTGGTCTAACAGTTTTCAATTGTTCCCAAAGAGCATTACATCTAGTGAAATATTCATTAATCGATAGATTACCTTGCACACTTCTGTAGATCTCATTCTGAATCTCAGCAATATTGTGTGGATCTGCTTGAGAATATGTTTTCTTCAAAGCATTCCAGATCTCTTCTGCTACCTCAAAGTACAACACACTCTCAGCAATAGATGGACTAAGTGAACGTAAGATCCAGGCGCAAACAATATCGTTGCACCTCTTCCAAGTTCCGTATCTAGCATCTGATTGAGCTGGACAGGGAATCGTACCAGCAACGAATGCAAATTTGTTCTTCACGCCAAGTGCAATCTTCATGGACCTGCTCCAGGCTGCATAATTGCTCTCAGTAAGAGGAGGAGAGACAAGTATGGTGTTTGGATTCTCTGTTGCGTGAAGATACAAAGGATCATCCAGTTCATCTACTCTGTAAACCGGATTTTGATTAGCTTGGATCTGACTGACCGGAGTGGCTGCTCCTGCTGCACTTCCAGCAGAATTTCCTCCGGCGGCATTTCTATCCATAGTTACTGCGGCTGCGTAGCTGCATGGAAGCTCTGATACCATGTAGGAATCAGTGAGCTAAGCTGGGATTTGGATGATGAGAGTTCATAGGGAGAGAAGTCGAAAAGAGAAAAGAGAAAAGAGAAGCTTGTTACTGTTGTATTGAATGAAGCAGAGAGCAAATTACATATAGTCCAGAGCAGAAGCAGTTATAACTGCCAGGGAAGAAAGAAGGAAGGAAAGTACAGAAATACCCTTCTACAACAATATTAATCCTTCATCATAGACGGAGGCTGAGCCGCTGAGTTTTCAGAAATCATAATTGTGGATTGCACCCCTGGCAAAGGGCATGTTTCAGTCAACTATCAAAATAGCACTTACGAAAGTTCATGGTGCGGCATGAAGAATTTGATATAGTTCATGGTGCGGGATGACACTTTAGCCAAATATGTTTTAAAAATATAAATTAAGAGTAGTTCGTTTTACCAATAAACCCCTCCCATAATTTCCCGTGGGGGCGTGGACGGGGTTGGAGTTGAGGAGTATACCCCTTGCCATTTCTAAGTGATGATCAAATCATGATCACGTGACCTTAACTAAAATATATTTTGATAACTACTAGGGTACATTATTTTAGAGCACAAGGTACATTATTCTAATCCACATAGTACATTACCAAAAATCAAGTAAACTACAAGGATACATTTTGTTAACACATAGGGTACATTATTTTAGAACACAGGGTACATTATTCTAACCCATGAGTACATTACCAAATCAGGAAATATTTTATTAATGCATAAAACAAAAAATATGTTCATAATCTGTGAAGTGCAAATACTTCCTTTTAAAACTCACAGAATATAAAACCAATTCATAATATGTCAATAACTCGCACAATATAAAACCAATTCATAATCTGTCAATAACTCACACAATATAAATCCAATTCATAATATGCCAATTGCATATATAAGTAAACAAAATTTCAGTACAACTTCTAATTATCATTGAATTGTTTTGAGACTTAGACCTAACACAAATCAATTCTGAACTAGTAGTGTCACTAGGATAAACAAGATACCCACTACCAACAATATTAGACACAAGTTACTGCACAGAAGTTTGGACTGCAGCCTTTGTGTTAGATTCAACCCTCTTTGCATAATTCTTTCGGCCTCCACATTATTTTCTTTCCTACTCACTCTTACATTCTCCTCCTAATATCCCCAATTGATAAGGATGCTCTTAGCTTAAATGTAGCCGCCCAATGAAATTAGATTTCATATTAATAATTTAGATTACATTAAATGATGGCGCCCAAGCGCCCAATGAAATCAAATCTCATTCTTCAATAAAAAAACTTTTAGTATTCCCAGGAGTACATCTTCAGCCTACATTATTTATGGTTCATTAACCATTCTCAAAGCAACCTCTCATATAAGATATGCTTAGAACACATTTAAATCGAAATTCTTGGGTGAGATCTAAACAGTTTCTGGACTGCAAGAAGCTTAGTAGCCATGAAGAAATTAACATCTTCCACTACCATTGGCAAGAAGAGGAAAATCAATTCAAGTGATAAAGGTTAGTCCAACCTACTTTCGTAGTGAGTATTTAATTTGCTGGAAATGTATACTTATGTATACTTATCTTAGTAAACTGCATGATCTTCATTTGTAGTTGTTATATCTGCCTTAACATGAAAAAGTTACAATACCTATGCATTCACTGTATGAAAACTACTCACTACCACAAAATTAATCGAAATTCTGCTTCTTTAAAAAACATGTTTGTACTCATTAAATCTAACTAAATCAAATTAGATTTTTTTTTTTGAGAACAAATAAAATCAGATTAAATGTTCTAACATGTTCGAAGACAGAACCACTGTAAAATTTTAAAACTATGAGGAAAAAGAATCCGTCACGAACTTTTAAGTCCAAATCTATAACCAGTTTATACATGCACTTGAAATCTGCAACCGATCAAGTAGAATAAATGATTTTTCATAAAACAATGTGTTCTTACCCGTTATTGTCGTCTGTTACTTCATTGTTGTTGCTCGAGATGATTGAAGCTTAGATCTGAAATGTTTAAATCCGAAAAAGAATTATCTGTGAAATATTAGTTTTACAAACAATTTGTGAGGAATATTACTTTTAATTTCAGAAATGAACACTAAAGATTGTTCGATTACTGTTTACCTTAACCCTATCAAAATAGGATTTTGAAGTATTAAGACCAAGATAAGGCAGAGATCGAGATAACAACATGAAGAACAATTACTGACGAGAGCAACCCTAGCTTGCTAGGATTTATGCAGATTAAGACTAACATTAGCCCAAAATCAGAAAGATTTAGAAAAAGAGTAATGTTATGAACCTATATTTTTTCTCCATTAAGCATACGACGATTAGCTCAAGGTAGAGCAAAGAAACTTCTAGGTTGCGGGTAGGACATCTGCGAAGAACGCAGGCGCAATGTCTGAAAGAAGTGCATCATTTTTACATTACAATATATATATATATATATATATATATATATATATATATATATCCTTTATAAAATAAAGCTATATGATTTGGGAAATAATTAATGTTACAATTAATACCACAACATCCTTTATTATAAAATAAAATAAAATAAAAAGCACAACATTTAAAAAATAAAATAGCTATATATTATATAATCATATAAAAAATATACTTTTGAAAAATAAAATAGCTATATATTATATAATCATATAGAAAATGTGTTCAATTAGAGTTTAAATTTACACATACAAAATTTGAAATTTGCTTTTCAAATGTAATTATCTTAGTTATTATTCGTATTGTGAAAATTATAATATAGATTAAATACAATTAAGAATAAATCAATGTAATTATATAAATTCTCTCTATTTATTTGAATATGCACATAATTAGAGATTATATTAATCATATAAAATTATAATTTTAATTTTAATTGTAATTTTGTATTCTATAAAAATAATAAATACTTGACCAAGGGAAACTCAAAAATATTATTATATTAAATAATTTAAAATATTTTAGTTTTTCTATTTTTTATTTATATTTATAATAACATAATTTTTTCCCGTGCATCGCGCGGGTAATAATAATAATAATTAATAATATTAATATCATAAATTAATAAGTAAATAAATAAATAAATATATATATATATATATATATATATATATATATACACACACACACATTATACGATGTGCAATTATTTATTGTGTGGATATTAGATGACGACATTTAAATTTGTGTTTATATTTGTGTTTCATACAATGGCGTACTTACGTGTAATTTTTTATCTCATATATTATTGCTTTCAGAAAATCTACCGGAGGCATATAATAATGTACGCAATATCAAGCGTCAATGTCCAGCTCGCTCGCCTTTGAGTGCATTAACTAATGGTTGGTGTATTTTCATTTATAACGTTTTTTTTTTTATTTATTTAAACACATTGGCACTTCTTAATTTAATAATTCATATATTTAGAAAATATAAATTCATCTCGGAACGTTAACAAAGGTGGGACAAGTGTACCCGTGTTTTATGGTGTTTTTCAGAAGTCGTTATCTACTCCATTTAGTGTTTTGACAAACGGTTAGTAAATTATTATTATAATTTGATTTCAAGGTGTGAAATACATATCATTAATTTATTTTGTGTCTTTTAGCAAGGAATCTGTGTTCAACACCAATTCAAAACACGAATATTACGTCATCAGATACGTGCAGGACACCTAAGACGGATGGTATGAACAATTCATTTTTCATATGTATAAATTGTACCTCAAATCATTAAGCTTAAATATGAAGGTTGATATCAACAATGATTAAATATTAGGAAGTCATTTCATTGGTATTAATGTTTTTTTGGCAGAAAACACTAATCTTCGACCTACTAATAATTTCTACACACCATTGACAACCGAGACATGTATATATTATCTTATATATTTTTTAATTGAATATTTTGGTAGTGGGTTATTAATTTCTAACCATTATTTTGAATAGCATGTAATGTGTTGGGCTGTACTACCGAGAATTCAAATAATGTTGCATCAAGAGATCTCATAAGGAATAATACTAATGCCATGTCAACTTCATGTAAGTCATTTACTATATATATATATATATATATATATATATATATATATATATATATATATTACTTAAAATATTAGTCTTTTAAACAACATAATCAATGTGTTTATGTTTTCAATTTTTTCAAAAATGTTGTAAGGTAATGTTGATATGGAGAGTGGTTTGCCTCAAACAAATGATCGTAATACAGTACAAGAAATTAACCAAACCACATATCATTGTCGTGACTTGATAAGAGATTTTGATGAGGTTGTTGGCACACAGGTTGTTAATGGTAAGTGTTGTATGGATTGTAAAAATTTAGTGATTTTTTTATAAAATAAATATTGAATGATATTATGTAACATTTTTGTACAGTTGACTATAAAGACAACGGTGATTCAATCTATGAGTGTCAAAGTTGTTTTGCCCTATTTTGGTACGATGAGCGGTTAAATAAGTCAAAGGCCAATGGTGTTCCTAAATATTCAACATGTTGTGCACATGAGAAGTTTACATTACCACCTATTAGCATGCCACCCAAAAAGTTGTTTGAATTGTTCTTCCAGAGTAGTGATAAGAGGACATGTTTCTTAGAAAACATTAGGTTCTATAATAGCATGTTTTGTTTTACTTCGATGGGTGGTGAGATTGATAATAGTATTAATAACGGTGGTGCACCGCCTGTTTTTAGAATAAATGGTCAAAACTTTCACTTGATTGGAAGCCTATTGCCACCTGACGGATCCAAACCCAAGTTTGCACAATTGTACATCCACGACACACAAAATGAGATTTCTAATCGAATTAGCTCCGTGAGGTGGTTTTCTATACTTTATTATCTTTTTCATAGGCAGATGTTTGTTGTTAAATTATGTTGTAATATAATATATTTTCAAACTCTGTAGGAACGATGACAATAGAAGTAACTTACATGTTGAGGTTGTTGCTGACATTAAAGAAGTTCTCGATGAATACAACGTGTTAGCTCAATCTTTTCGGAATGCTAGCGTTGAGATTGAAGCTAACCCAAGGGTAGAGGTTAAAATGCGACTCATTGGAAAGAGAACAAAAGATGCAAGAACGTATAATTTTCCCACAGCTTCTGAGGTTGCGGCCCTTATTGTCGGTGACTTAGATCCAAATATGGATGAGCGTGATATATTGGTAGAATCTAAGACGGGTGGATTGAAAAGGATAAGCAAATTGAACCCTGCATACTTGTCGTTGCAATATCCCCTATTATTTCCTTATGGTGAAGACGGGTATAGGGAAGATATTCAATATTTCAATTTGCTGTACAACATGAATGCAAGAAAAGTGGTAGACATCGTTTATCTCCCAGGGAGTACTTTGCATTTCGTATGCATGAGCGAACAAATGAAGTCTCAACTTTATTGTACTCCCGACGATTGTACCAGCAATACTTGGTGTGAAGCTTACAAAGGGTTATCAGATGCGTTGACTATAGGGGAAATTGAGCCTTCTACGCATGGGTTAATTAAAGAATTGCGTGAAGGATCTATATATTCGGTGAAGTCCGTGCTGGTACAATTATATATACTATATGTGTTATTATCATTTTATTTAATTTTTCTATTTAGTTTTTTTTTTTTTTTTTTTTTTTTTTTTTGTATTATGCACTCTTTTGTTAAAAATTTGATTATTATGGCTCATTGCAGTTATATACACTATTGAATTTCAAAAGCGAGGACTTCCACATGCACATATCTTGCTTTTTTTAGCAATCTCAAATCGAAGTAACTCCATCCAATTCATGGACTCTGTTATTTCAGCAGAGATCCCGGACAGAACGGTTGACCAGGAGTACTTTAATGCAGTTGAAGAATTCATGATGCATGGACCATGTGGACATGGTAGGAGGCAGTCACCGTGCATGGTGAACGGGAAGTGTTCAAAGCACTTTCCAAAAAAATTTAGTGAATTTTCAAGTTTCGATCAAGATGGTTATCCAATTTATAGGCGTCGTGATGATGACATGACAATTAACAAGAATGGAATTCACATGGATAATAGATATGTGGTACCGCATAATAGGTACTTGCTTCTTAAATACAGGGCACACCTAAATATTGAGTGGTGTAATCAATCAAGATCTATCAAATATTTGTTCAAGTATGTTAATAAAGGGAATGATCGTGTAACAGCTGAATTTTATAAAAGTACGATTGTCAATTGTGGTAATGAAGTCATAGATGAGATAAATATGTACTATGATTGTCGATACGTATCTTCATGTGAGGCTACATGGCGTCTCTTTAGCTTTGATGTGCAATTTAGAACACCTGCAATTGAGAGATTAAGCTTTCATCTTCCAGATTGTGAAACAGTTGTTTTTGCCGATGATGATGCGATTGAAGATGTGCTCCGTAGACATACTGTTGGTCAGAGTATGTTCAATGAATGGTTTGAAGCAAACAAAAAATATGAAGAAGCAAGGTTGTTAACATACATTGTGATGCCCAGTAAGTTTGTTTGGAAAAAGGACATACGGTAGTGGCATCCAAGAAAAAAATGATTTTCAATTGGTCGTATCTTTTACGTTTCGCCGGGAACTGGCGAATTATATTATTTGAGGTGTCTTCTTAATATAGTTCGTGGACCTACGAGTTTTAAAGATATCCGTTCATTTAATGGGGTAGAGTATGTCACTTTTAGAGATGCATGTTATGCACGGGGGTTATTAGATGATGATAAAGAATACATTGATGCCATAAAAGAGGCCAGTCAGTGGTCATCCGCGCATTTCATGAGAAAACTTTTTGTGACATTGTTGATGTTCAATTCATTGAATAGACCAGAAAATGTATGGAATGAGGTGTGGGTTTACCTAGTAGAGGACGCACAAATCACTCTCCGTAGGGTACTTTCTCAACCAGGTACTATTAACATATTAACAATTCCTTAGGTTATAGTTGTTTATATTAATTTTTCTAATAAAAGGTATACTTTTAATTAACATAACCTTTTATTGTCTTTTGGAATACAGATCTTATACTGACAGATGATGAGAAGAAAAATTTTGGTCTTCTTGAGATCGAAAAGTTGTTGCAAATACACAATAAGTCTTTAAAGGAATTTCCTTCAATGCCAATTCCAGCTTTAGATAATTCTCGGTTATCTGTTAACCGTTTGTTGTTTGAGGAGTTATCCTATAATCGAGAAGAGCTTGCAAATGAGGCATTGACCATGAAATTTACTGATGAACAAAGGTCTGTTTATGAAATAATAATTGGTGATGTTGCCTCAAACGCTGGTGGTTTGTTTTTTGTCTATGGTTACGGTGGAACTGGTAAGACTTTTTTATGGAGAGCTTTATCTGCGACTTTGCAGTCAAACGGTGATGACTATGGG